CCAGCTGACAAGCTATGGGTGCATTGGGCTGCAGGGTAGGTTGCCAACCCCTGGTCTAGTAGTAGGAACTATTCGAACTCAAAAATATGGTGTCATGTATCAGTTTCTCTTTGTTGTATAATAAGGATGCATCAAACTGTACCCCTCAGGCATGGAAGGCAAAATTAAAGATTTGATGATGTACAGATGCCAGCTATGTCCAACACATGCTCATTGGAATGACAACACTTTCAACTAACTCTCTGCTGCAGTGGTTGTAAAAATTATGTAACTTACCTCTGTAACATCTTTCTTCTTAAAAAAAAGCAGAGGATTTTCTTAGGGCATTTCAGGGGGACAGAGTACACCTATTTTGTTTAACTATTTCCTTGTATTCTCCCCACTGATTTATTTCTGACAGACTGATAACTTTTTATAATGTAATTTCACCTTGAATTCAGTCCATTTTGTAAGTTGTTGCTTTGATTTGGCAGAGAGAACCAAATGGGCAGAAGTACTCTTGATTTACTAGAACAGTTAGAGTCTAGAAACCTCACAAGTGAAATTAATATTCTTTTCTTTTTTTTCTGAAACGTGGCTCATGTCATTTGCAGTCAAAGCCGGTCCATTAAAATCTTAGTAACTGAGAAAAATAAAATGCACACTTTTTTGTGTGGTTAGTTTGAAAATAATGTTGCTCTCAAATGTAAAATGAACTAATGTGTTTTTAGGCTGTTTAAAGCCACTAATATGTATACCACTTGCTTTCTTTTACAATTTCAGGTAGAAAAGCCTTGCAGTGGTGGTCAAGATTTGCTTCTTTATCCAGCTAAGAGAAGACAACCTTTGAGAAGTGAACTGGACACTGAAAAAGTGCTTCCATCCCCTCTACCTACTTCCAAACAAGTATCGCCATCGAAAGGGAGTTCAGCCACTGTGCTGGGAGAAAGAGAAATCAAAGAGAAAGTGGCACAGCTGCTGATGAAGTACTCTAGTGGCCTTTGGGCTAGTGCACTCCCCAAAGCATTTGAAGACATGTACAAAGTCAAAATTCCTGAGGATACCCTGAAGAATCTTGCCTCACTTTCTGATGTATGTACCATAGACTACATTTCCGGAAAGTCGCAGAAGGCTATCCTGTATGCTAAACTTCCATTGCCCACTGACAAGAGCCTAAAAGATAAAGGACAAGCACAGGAAAATGATATCAAGTCAATAATTGAACAAAAATATTTGCAGATAGAAAAAAACATTGCTGAAAGCACTGACACCATTATGGAGGACGTATCAGTTCCTCCTCTAGTTATTCCAACTGAGGCATCTCCATCTGTATTGGTGGTTGAATTGAACAACACAAATGAAGTGGTTATCAGGCAAGTTTCACTGTCTCATTTCTTAGGATGCAGGTATACTGTTGCAGTTATTGACTGTTCATCACATGGATGCTGGGGCTTGAAGGATGAACAGCATATTCTTAGTTCTAATGGGTTATGGTGAAGTTAATAATATAGTAATATATGGTTAAATATTCAAAATATGCATCTAAAGAGAAAAATTACAGTCTTAAAAATTGGAATAATATTAAATCCATGTCAAAGGTATCATGGTAACTGTATATCAAAAGCAATACCTATAGAAAAAGCAAGGCCTTCACAATAATAATATTGAATTTAGGATTAATAGTATTGAATTGGGTAATAATAATATTGAATTTAGGATTATGTAAAATTTCCTAAAAGTCAGAATACTGAAGAATGCCATCCTCATGTGAGACCTCAGATTAACCCTTGGGCCCAGAGGTGCTCTGGTGAATGAGCCTTGTGATATTATTGTCTGGGAGTCAGTGCCCAAGTGTCTAATGATAACTGGAATGAAAAAAGTCAGTTGCCCTCCAGGCACTTGACTTGGGCTTTTGGAAACTACAGAATACCTAAAAGAAAAAATTAGAAAGAGTATAATTTGCTGTTAGCTGATCTGGAAAAAGAATGGTAGCCTGTGTACTGCCAAAGTGATGGAGCACCAGCCAGGGTATGGCTTTGGCTGGACATATCAGGAAAAAGCTGGTGCCAAGCAGAATCTAGGCTCCTTCAACCAAAATGACCCCATGGTTCAGGCTTTTGGACACCTATAGGTGAGCTGGAAAGACCCAGAGAAAGACTTTGAAAAAATCAAAATCCTTCCGTGAAAGAACTTTAAAACTCTTACATTTGAAGTCTTAAATCTGAGTGTGTAATGAAGTAGACATCAGTTTCTTAAGATGCTCAAAGAAGAAGCTTTAGAGAGGGTTTTTTTATACAGGGTTACTTAATATATAAAGGTTTAATTTAGGATCTGGTGTGACTTGAAGATACAAGTAAGTTGTTGAGGATTATAGCCTACTAATATATTGAAGCAAAATAAAACGTCAGGCATATCGCAGATTCCAAACATTTAACATTACAAAGAAAACCTAAATCTACTTCCATGGCAGAATCCTCTGTATCTTTTACCAGTAATCATCATTGCCACTGTCAGAGAATAGCCACCCACCACTGTCGAGTTCAGTCATGTGATTTCTTATGGTCTTACCAACGAAGGGCCAGCAGGAAGCTATATTTTCTAGGACATTAGTAGCAGAGTTTGAAGCTATCCCAGATAGTAAACATGATGGGTAATGTCTGCCCTTAGGTTAACTCTAGGTCGTTGACTGTAGAGACTTGGCACGCAGACCCCTGTCAAATTAAGCTCTGTTACATAGCCTGTTCTTCACCCAGGCAGGCAGTAAGTAGACCCTAGAAGGTGATCTTCTGGCTCACCCTGAGGGGCCTCAAGGGATGCTGTGGCACAACCCTCAGATAAAATATAGGAATATTGTCTTCAGCCTCAAAAATTAACTTTAAAAAAGTTTGTATCTATGACATACCTAATTGGCCTATACATCATTCTTTGCCTTCTTGCTCAGGTAATTTGTTGACCACTGCAACTCCATTCTTACCACTGCCCACTCTCGTTCCAGCTGTAACAGCATCCCCTACCTTCACCTCAGCCCCTGTAGCCATTCTTCTCTACAGGCTGTTACAGGGACTGAAGCCACCTGTAGCTCCATGTGCTTCTCTCCACCTTCCTCCTCCCTGCAAGACTGTATGCCATGGGACCACCACATCAGGCCGCAGCCTGGGCTCTTCCAGTTGGGCTCCAAGGGCTGGTACAGCCCTACAGGGAGGACAAGACCATAGGCAGGCCTATGGCAATAGGAAGACCTTCCAGGAAACTCCTAGAATGCAGTGCATTCCAGGCAGTGCCTTAACATTCACAAAGCTCAGTAAATTTAAATGATCATGGCAAAACATCTGCAGCTGTTTTTAGAGTGAACAATATACATATAGTATTTCATTTTAAAATAGCCATTGCCTAAAAAAAGGGATCCTTACATTTTATTGAAGACTATTTTGCAGTGTTTTTTTCTAGTTGCAAATAGCTTGGCTGTGGCATCTTCTTGCTGATGTTTACCAAGAACACGTGGAAACAGGCCTACAGAAATAATGTAGTTTCTTATTTCTGTATAAACTTATTTGGATCCCTCTGTGAAAACTGAAACAATGCAGAGAACAATGCTGTGGCATACTCTGTCCTCTGTTTCTAGCTAGAAGGTTACATCTTATGGCCCAGACTGCTCCTGTTTCATTTGATTTGATTTGATTTGATTTGCCAGGTTTTACATCATATAGGGGAGACCTTAATGAAGCTAGAAAATAACTGCTTGTTTGGGCAGAGAAAAAAAATAGTATGTCTTGATGATTTGAACTAGGACAGGGTGACTACAGTTGTCAACAATAGGCAATTGTAGAAAGGGTTGGGAATTGTCTGAAAATAATACTTCTCAGAAAACATACATTTTAGAGGCATTCTGCTAGAGCATGTCATCAGAACCCAACACTTTATTGTAATTTGATCAGCAATTTGGGGGAATGGAGGATTTTCACATTGTTGATGTTGTGTTTAGTGTGTTCAAGGTGTGTGTGTGTGTGTGTGTGTGTGTGTGTGTGTGGTGCTAGGATAAAATACTGGCCTAAGTGAATGCTAGGCACATGTTCTACAACTAAGTCACAGTCCTGGTCCTAGACTTTGTTTTTTTTTTCTAATAAAGTCTCATGGTTTGAAGAATTTGAGGTTTGTTCACAGACAGCCTCAAAGCTCTGCTAGTAATCCAGGTCTCTAGCAGTTTTAGTCAAGATCTTAGGGCAGCCCTCGCTTACCAGGGCCCCTTTAGGTCTCTTCCTGTCTCTCTGTCTTTCTCTCTCTCTCTCTGTCTCTCTCTCTCTCTCTTTGTCTCTCTATCTCTCTGTCTCTCTCTGTCTCTCTGTGTCTCTCTGTCTCTGTCTCTCTCTGTCTCTCTTTCTGTCTCTTTCTCTGTCTCACTCTCTCTGTCTCTGTCTCTGTCTCTCTTTCTTTGTCCCCTGCTTGAATCTTTCCCTGCCTCATCCTCCCCAAGATCACCGTCACTGCTTACTGCTAAGCACTGTACTGTGATGGGTTGTCATCAAGAATTTGTCCTGTTGCATGGTGCATTGGACCTCGGTCTTGTTTTACATGATCTCTACATACACACTCTTCCTTTATGAAGAGATAAATGTTTCCTGAGCATACTGCCTCCATGTAAGTGTGAGCAAATCCAAAGCTGGAACCAAAGATGCAGTAGGGAAAATGGAGCAACACTAACAAGTTCCTGTGGTTTTTCTTTTCCAAGGATGCTTCATTTGTGTTCTCTGCCTTCAATTAATCCAGGTATGTGGGCAAAGACTACTCTGCTGCTCAGGAGTCAATGGAAGATGAGATGAAGGAGTTCTACAGTAAGAACCCCGTGGTTGCACCAGTACAGGCCGTGCTCGTTGGGCAGCTGCTAGCCGTAAATGCTGAGGAGGATGCTTGGTTACGGGCACAGGTCATCTCAGCAGAAGAGAACAAGATAAAGGCAAGCAGTAGTGACTTTGTCCTATAATTACCAAGACACACACTTTATTATTTGTTAAATGTAAATGTTGTTTAGGGGCTGGGGATTTAGCTCAGTAGTACAGCGCCTGCCTGGCAAGCGCGAGGTCATGAATTCGATTCCTGGTACCAGGAAAAAACACACACAAAAAAGTAAATGTTGTTTCTTATATGTCCTTTTAAATCGTAAGGAGTTTTCTCTGGAAGGTGTAAATTATCCTCATCAGCTGTTAAGACACTGGTAATCATGTACATTAGTGTTTTGGTAAATCAGACAGCTTCTCCACAGTAGTATGCAGAACCCATGGACTCAGCAGAATGAGTTTTCCTTCCTACTCCCCATACTGGCCAGATGCGTGGGCAGTTAGCTCATCCAAGCAATGCTTCAAGTGAGGGAAGCTGCGCAGTCAGAAAGCTGCTACTCTCCCTGTGTCAAACAATGCTTGGGCCACTCTCCAAGGCTTCTCCCAGGCTTGGCTCTCAGTCCTCTTGGCTCCTCTAGGGTTTCAGGCCTGGCCTTCGCCTCTTCTTACTCTCTCTGAACAGCCCAGGAAGCAGGACTCTCATTACAGGCCCAGGCTCTCTCTGACCTCACAGCTGCCCAGGCAGTGTGCAGAAGAGCAGTGGGTGATTCTGTCTTATCTGTGGTCATCAGTATCTGCCGACTGTTTTTGCTGTGTCACTTCATCCTTTATTGGTGAAAGCTATATGTTTAATTGGAAATCACCTTGTGATTAATAGGCCTGCCTCTTGAATCTCTGAGACAGGAGAGCAGCTAGTTTATGAAGAATTCGTAGGTAAAAGGTCTTTCCTTTCTAGATTGCTAAGATGTTTTAAGGGTAAATGCGCTTCAAGACTTCTGTGTATTGCCACCCTGCTTGCTAAGCTAGTGGCCCTTGCTCTTCACTACACAGTTTCAGTCTCTTCTTGTATGGAGGACCCTTGCTGTTTGGGGAAACATATCTAAAGCTCTTTAGGTTCTCTCTAGACTTTGCAAGCAAGAGTGTATACTTCTGTTTCTTCAGTCACTGTCTACAATACAAAACCCAAGTCCATATGGCACTTCAGCCACTGGCCATATCCCATGTGTGCCACTGAGTACAGATACTCACCTCTGAACTCAGCTTTCCAGTACTCTCCACTGAAACTCCTTCCCTGTGCGCTGTCAGGAGGGCAGGGAAGGAGCTTGCTGCTTCTTACCCAGTTTTTTCAGTACTTCAAAGAAGCTGTGATCCTGTCCAGAATTAAGATCAGCCAGCCACCTTTCCCATTCACAAAGAAACTTAGGAAATTCCTTAACCTACTCTTTAGAAACACACAACTTTTAAGAAATTTGACTGTAAAAATCTGAACATTGGAACAGTTTGGCAATTAAACACATCATATGACCCCTAAGTATTTATACATGAGAAATAGAAATATAGGTCCACAAAAATACATACATACATGTTTGCAGCAGTTTTATTATTAATAACCATAAACTGAAAATAGCCCATGTGTTTGCCAGCAGTCACATGCATGAACAAATTATAATTAATTCATATAATGATATACTATTAAACTATCAACATGGTTAAGTCTCACAGACTTTGTGCTGAACAAAAAAGAAACCAGTCACACAGAGTAGTATTGTATGAGCCAATATAAGTGGTGTCTGAGAACAATTAAACTTCATAGCAGCGATAAAATCAGAGTATTGGTTACCTGGTACAGGAGGTAGAGGTTGGCTAGTTGCAGAGGCAAGAGGGAACTTGTGGAGCTGGTGAAGGTGGTCTGTGTTTTGATTATAGTGATGAGTATATGGTGTACATGTTGGTCAGAACCCATCAAACTGCATACTTTAAATGAGTTTCTTTTCTTCATTGTAGACTATACCTGGATAAAATTTGAAAAACACTCTCAAAAAAAGCTAAGGACCAAGGTGGTCACTGGACCAGCGGAGCACAGGGTTTTTGTTTGTGGCGTAGGCACTCACTCTGACTGCATTTGTTTGCCCTTGATCAAGTTCCTCTCTTCATCTGGGCTTGTAGTTGATAGGGGTTAACGCTCCAAATATCCCTAGATACACAAATACTTCTGCTCCTTTCTCTTGCCCTGCCGTTAGATTCAACAGATGCTAAGCTATTTTAAGGCATCAGGATTTCTCATGAAGAAGAGAATTACATGTAAATCCTAGTGGGACACGGACAGTTTATAATAAACAGTGAATATAGTCTATAAAGACAGACCCTCGTCTGTAGTCTCTATTGCTGCTGAGAGTTATGAGCTGTTAGAAACAGGTGTCTCAGTATTTTGTATACAGTGTGCTCTTGAGATAGCAGTGCTTGCAGCAAGCCTGTCCTGTTCCTCTTTCCTACATCTCCCTGGAGGTGACAGAGATTTCTCCCTTTGCTTGGAGAAGCCCCAGCTACTTAGCACCACCCTGTTTCTCATGAGCTGAAATCTGCGTGGCAGCATGTACCAATCCCCTCCTTGCTTCCATCTGTGAGGTCCTTGGCAGGTAGGAGAAACGGGGGCATGTGGGGACATCCTGAGGCTAGTGCCTGTTGGCCTGACCAGACCAGCATCCTGGGTCCATGCTGTTACTTGGGTAACTCTGTAAGACTTGTGGCCACTTGGTGGTGCCAGAGAACAAGAGACTGGTTGCTTAGACGCTGCCTGTTGGTGCTGATCCCAGTGCACTAAAGAGAGCAGAGTACACAAGGCCTGGTGTAATGAGAGTCACATTGAACCATCCAGGGACGCATGTTTTTATAAACTGTTGCTGTCATACAAAGCATAGTGTCATGATTAAAAACAAGAAAGAAAGAGCAAACTACAGACACTACAGAACCTCTCTGAAGACTGCAGCAGGTAGTATTATAGCCATGGCTGCGTTCAGAATACATTCGACCTCACCTAGGAGTCATGATGGTGAGTTCTGTCGTTAGGCTGTGCCATCTCCGTTTAAGTGGAGGAGAGCAGAGTCCAGGCTGGAGGTGGTGAAAGCTATTGAAGGGCACAAAACTGCCTGACTCCTGAACCATGTGAGGAGAGTGAGCAGGGACTGATTCAGGATGGGAGAAATGAACTTGCGCACTTAAATGTCTGGCCACCTGCTGTGGGGACCCTGCCAGTGATCTGAGCCCTTGTATTGAGTCAGATGTGACTTGAGGCCTCCAAGAGGTGATTTTTCCCATACAAGGAAGACTGGCCTACAGCCCACTTACCACACACATGCTTAGGAAAAGTGTTGATGGTTTCTCTGCCTCTTTTTCTCCTTAGACTTTCTGCTGGGGAAGAGTTTTATATATTTCGTGTCACAGTCTAGGTACCATGAAGCTGGTCTGTGCACTTTACATTCTCCTATAAAAGGTGGAAGGGAAGGGATCTGCCACTTTCTACCTGTTCTATCTTAGACAAGCATCTACCCTGATTTGTGTTATTTTGCTTTGTTGTTGTCATTTTTAAACCATTGTCTGCTTTAATTAGAGCATACTAAGTTTTCAGCACTTCAAACTCTTATTCTAAACCATAGCTTAATGTTTATTTTTAAAAAGGCTTTGTGTTTCTATAGTCCTTTTCAAAAGAATATTCTGTGTACATAATCTAAAAATAATACTCAGGTTCTCAATGATCCGTGCCAATGGTAAAGAAGAGCTATGTGAACAAAGAAAGTGTTGAGTAGATTTGGGAACTTTTACTGAGCTAAATAAAGGCCCAGCCTAACTTTGCACCCTTGAAACAAACAGAAGTACTAATTGAAACAAAGCCTCCCTGGCTTTGTGCAGACAGCTGTGGTGCCACTTAATTTTCTGATTATGTATCAAATAAATGATTTTTTTAAAGCAAGAATGAAGAACTTTAGCCTAAACTTTTTTTTTATCATTAGGTATGCTATGTTGACTATGGTTTTAGTGAAATTGTTGAAAAGAACAAAGCATACAAATTGAACCCAAAGTTCTGGTCACTTTCATTCCAAGCTACTAAGTGTAAACTAGCAGGTAAGAGAAACTTTAAACAGTGTGTCTATTTTGATAGGTCATCACCTTTATATTTTTGGTTGGTTATATTCTTAAATGGTCCCAGTATCTGAGTGCTAAAATGTGTTATTTCTTGAAAGATTTAAATGAATTCATGTTTAATGTGCTCAATATAAGATGCAATAATTATGAAAATATTACCTTGTTTTGTTGTATTTTATTATATATAGTGCATTGTATTGTGTTTTATAAAAACATCTGATGGCCATCTGAACAGTTTTTTTTTCAGTTATCCTCACTACCCTAGTAACAACCAATAGAGGCCCCCTATCATGCGATTTGATCATTTCCACATGAGGTGACCCTCAGCCTTTTCCCAATGAGACAGATGATAAGAGATGTACACCACTAGTACACCCACCTGTGCCCAGGCTGAGTTTGCCTGTACCTGTTGTGCGGGTTCTTGCATAGTCAGTGAATCACTGTTCTTTTCTTTCTGCCTTATGGAGCAGAAGAGATCAGACATGTGTGAGTGCTTCGAAGGGTGAACCTAAGGTATGGAGGACAGTGGTCAGGTTAATGGAAATACGCATTGTGCCTTGATGGGCTTGTGCTAAATTTAGAAAGTGATCATAATTCCTTGGTAAAGTTCTGTGCTCTAAAAAATGCTCCATTGCAGCAAGGGTGAATACTTATACCACTGGAGCTGGAGCTGACTCTGAGCTGCACTGGAAATGGGTTTAAGAGCCTGTTAGAAACCTGTAGAAGTTGATTTTAAAAAGAGCAAATAAAAAGCATAGGACAAGTTTTAGGATGCTGAAATGAAAGGTTTGAGAAAAGCTACAAAATTATGTGTCTGGAGAATAGGACATGAGAATGGACACTCAGGAGGAGTCTGTAAATTTTAGTTTGTGGATATAAAGGAAGAAAATAAAGAAGTAGACATTACGTATCATTGGGGGAAATAGTGGGTTGGTTTTAATTAGTTTAATAGATTGACTTAGAGCTGTCATATTCATGATATATAGAATTAAAATTTTCAGGGACTGGGGATTTAGCTCAGCGGCAAAGCGCCTGCCTGGCAAGCACAAGGTCATGAGTTCAGTTCCTGGTACCGGAGAAAAACCAAAAAAATAAATAAATAAATAAAATAAAATAAAATTTTTAGAGAACTGAAAAAATAGACTAAATCGAAATTCACCTGATGCTTGTGTTATGTTCTATCTTTGATAGATCTGAAGGTTCTCTGGTATCTTCAGGGTTGTAGTGGTGTACAGGGAGGAAAGAGGCAAGGAGAAGTGTGATAGTCTCAATTTCCATTACATGGACATTCATTTTATGAGACACAAATAATTGTGTGTATTTAATTAGAAATTTTTAAAAATCAAGATAGGATTTTAGAAAAGACACTAAAATAAATGACTAGCACACATGATTAATAGTTTCTTATATGTATTAGTCTGTTTTATGTATGTGTTTGTATATAAAGTCAGGGCTATTTTTTTTAAGGTAGAAACTGTGATTGGTCATTAGTTTTTCTTATTTTAAGATTTTTGGGGGGCTGGGGATGTAGCTCAGCAGCACAGCACCTGCCTGGCAAGTTCAAGGTCCTGAGTTTGATTGCTGGTACCAAAAAAAAAAAAAAAAAAAAAAAAGGATTTTCTGTCTTAGAGGAAAAGGGAATTCACATTATACTTTTAAAACCCATAGATGAATAAGGTAAAAAAGATTGTAAAACAAAGCTTCCATATAACATTTAATAATTCTGTGGTAGATTCATAATTTTAATAAGTGGTCAAAACAGATAAAGTCAAACCATCCATCTTATAATAATTCTGTTAAGAAGTAGAAAGTAAAATGTTCACTATTTTTCAGGGTTGGAGGTTCTAAATGATGATCCTAATCTAGTGAAAATGGTTGAATCTCTAACTTGTGGGAAGATCTTTGCGGTGGAAATACTTGACAAGGCAGATACCCCACTTGTTGTTCTGTACGATACTTCGGGAGATGATGATATCAATATCAATGCTACCTGCCTGAAGGCCATGCATGACAAGTCACTAGAGGTTCACCTCCAGGTACCCCTGTGATCACCATTGTCATCTCTCATATTGTATGAAAGAAGATCAACAGAAAAGAATGCTATGGATTTTAGTCTAATAATTGATACAGACATTACATTAATAATGAAGAAAAAAGGAAAACTGGAAGGAGAAAATGTTAATAGTAATTATTTCTTATTAGAAAGTGGATTTTTTTTTATTTTCCAGTTTTTACATTGAGTGTATGTTAAATTTATATGAAATTACAAAGATAATAAAGGAGAATAATAAGAGAAGGAAAAATTAAATCCATGAAGATATTTATGCTTAGCTTTAATGTTTTAAAAATGTTTGAGACATAGTCCCAAAAGAGGGACCCTTTTAAGTAAGTTATAGAACTTTCATCATAAAGAATAAGGATGAGATATTTAAATGATCATTTCAAAGACTTAATTAAAACATTAGGAAAAATAGTCTTAATGAGTAGAACAGCTGTGAATTGTCTTTAAATCATGGATTGACTAAAAAATCTCTAAAATTAAATCTTTGACTAGATTTTCTAAAAATTGCTAAAAATCATGTTGCCAGTGAAGACAGGTTAGAAAGCAACTGGTAATGGAATCAACTTTGTAAGAATTCTTTATTTTCATTCCTGTTAACATTGCAAAAACAGGTTTATAGGATAATTTTTATTCTAAATAAAAGGGAAGAGAATAAGCCAAAGTGAGAGACATTTTTAGACTTTCATACAATGGAATGTGGTAATATATACAAAGTGTCTCTTTTGTGCCTGACACAAATGGTTGGTTAAATGTAATTTTTTACAGTTAGTTGGAAATTTCATTCTTTGTAGCTATCCAGTAACAGAGACAACTTTAAGATGCAGACTTTCAGTAGGTAAATATCCCTTGTGGAGTTGAGAGCACCATTCTGTTCTCAGGTATTCTTGGTGTGTCCTTTGCTTGTTCCAGGTCGATGCCACATACACAAATGTCAAAGTGACAAATATTTGCTCTGATGGAACACTGTTCTGCCAAGTGCCTTGTAAGGGTCTGAACAAGCTCAAGGACCTTCTGCATAAGATAGAAGATTACTTCCATTGCAAGGTACGACAGAACACTATTCCTGTTTAAAGTTATTCCTAAAATTGCACGTAACAGTAGCTCACTAAATTGCATAAGTATGAATAATTTTTTAAAAGTTTGGGGCAGAATCTCTAGAATGATAGGTAGCCACCATAGACTTTAGAGCTTTGAGAAGAAGAGGGGAAGAAAAGCCTACCAGTGTCTGTATTGTAAACTGAAGGTGACAGTACTGTACTCCGAAAGAATTGTCATGAGGATAGTTGCAGTATTGCTCAGCACAGTGCCTGGACGTAGAAAGTGCTCATCAGTTGATAGATCTGTTGTTTATAATATGCAGTTGATTAGTCCTGTCACTGTCTCCTTGAGCCAGCTGGCTCTTCTGTCACAGGCAGAGGAGAAACCCTGGAATTTAGGAGAACAATAAAACTCTCCTTAACTCTGCCTCATCTCCCTTAGGCATTGCTCTCCCCAGACTTCCTCTGGTCCCTGAAAATCTGCTGGAAAATATACTTCTGCAGTTTAAATTCTAAAAATAGGCTCCTTACCCTTGGATTCTTATTTCTGTGTTTTTCTGAATCAGGACCTGTAGAAGTTTTAGGTTTCTAAAGTGGTTTCCTTACCAGTAAGGGACAGTGTAATCATCTAAAACAAAGCCAGGGTTTCCAAGTCACTGAACCTTACGGCCACTTCAGCCCTGACCCCTTTCCCGCTGCAAGTGAAGCCTCTCTCTAACCTACCCAGTACTCAGACACCTCCGGATACCCTATTCAGCTTTGTATTTTAGCTACTTGGGTATTTATTTGTTTTAATAGAATGTTGGTGACTCCTCCTCCTTCTCCTCCTCCCTATTCCTTCTCCTTTGCTCCTACACATATGTGGCAGGGAGTGGGGGATACTGAGGGTTGAACCAAAAGCCTTGGTGCTGAGCTATATCCCCAATCTTTTTGCAATTTTTGATTTTGAGACAAAGTCTCACTAAGTTGTCCAGATTGAGCTTAAATTTAAGAGTCCTCTTGCCTCAGCTACCCAGACTACTGAGAGCACAGGTGTGTACTAATACCCCTAGCTTCAGTGTAGACTTTTTGAGGACAAAGACTGTGCCTTGCCAGTTTTCTGCATTCTTTACAGCACCTAATCCAAGGTCATATCTAGAATAGGCATTCCAAGGTATTTGCTAGATCAGGTTACACCTACAGTCACACTGTTGTCTGGAATTGAAGCATTACATCTATAGTGTTAACACTTCTTTCTGAGATTGATGATGTATCTGAAACCCCCCAAAGAGATTGACTGTGTTGATTGGTCTGCATGGATGTCCTTAAAACGTAGAGTGGTGAAAAGCATTGTTGGTATTTCTTTGTGCTCTGGTAACCCATGTGAAGACTTTGCGTTTGGGAGAGCAGAAACTCTCACCTGAAGAAAAAGAGACACAGGCAGGTCCCCACCTTCAGACTGTGGCAGAAGAGGCAGATGAAGACACCTGGCATTTCAATAGTGCTCATAATACATATTTGTGTTGATAACATTGCTTTTGTTTTGGAATTAAAATCTTATCTTTGAATCTAAGTGTTAGAATATGGAAAGAAGAGGCCTTCTGTTCAGCTGGTCCAGCCTCCTCCTTTTCATCCATCCGCTCCTAACTTTTTGTCAGATTAAAATTCCTCTTTATGTGTAACTGATGGAACCAAAGCCTAAACTAATCACTGACTTCTGCTAACATTTTAACAGGGCTAGTTTGAGCCTATATAGTAGGGTACAATAAATCACTGACTTCTACAGCACGCTTCTGTGTTTACTTTCTCCACTATGTCCCCCTCTTTGGCTCATGGGAAGTCTGGTTACATGGGTAAGCAGTCTGCCTGCAGCTCAGCAATCTATTAGTGTAGCCATGTACTCTTTGCTAAGAATCACAAACATATCTTGGGTTTCTTTTTTTCAGCACATGACTTCTGAGTACTTCATTTCACTACCCTTCTGTGGGAAAATTTGCCTCTTCTATTGCAAAGGAAAATGGTTACGGGTAGAGGTAAAACCAGTTACTTGACTTTTTAAAACTAATTATGAAATGTTTAAAATGTACAGAATTTTAAAAAATGGAATAAGCATGCATGGGCTAGTCACTAGTTTATGGAATTAAAAAGTGACCAACATGGTTGAGCTCACTATGAGACTTCTGTTTTCTCTTGCCAACGCCCTGAGAGAACTACAGCTGAGTTTGGTGTTTCTCATTCCTATTCATTTCTTTAGACTTTAAATGTTTATACACATATTCTTTTGCTGTATGTTTTAATATATAGATAGAATTATCGAAGTACATTTGCATTTAGAGTATGTATAGTAAAAAATGAATATGACTAAGTGAATAAATACTCTTAAAATTTATGTACGTAGTAAAATGTATTCATTCCTCGGAAATGAGCCTTTTCACTCATTATGTTGATATATGCCACTCTGGTTCATCTATTGAATGCTGTATGTTATGCAAAATGAATATGTAAACATTACCATGCCATTCTTCTGATGATGGCCATTTAGATTGTAATTTTTGTTATAAATAACAATGCCGTAAATCCACCTATGTATATCTCCTGGGGTGCGTGCAGGAGTTTCTGGGTACAGGGAATGCATAGCTTTAGCTTATTAGTACCTCTCTATGGTCACTCTTCCATTGAGGGTAGAGCCCTCTGAGAGTTCTGGCTTTCTCGTAGAGTGCTTCAGATCCTCCCTTCCTCCTGCATGGGTCTAGGGCCACATCTGCTGTTCAAGATAGCTTTGGCTTTGGTGTTCACATAATCTTCTGTTTCCAGCTCCTGGAAATTGTCTTATTTTCTGGGAAGTTCATTTACAAAGTTGTAAATAAGTTTATCTTGTATTTTTATATTTTTTAAAAGGCAAGTTTTAAATTTTTGTGATTGTTTTTCCTTCCTCTCTTTCCCTTTCTCTGTCCCTCCTCCCCACTCCCTCCTTCCCTGGCTCCCATTTCTAGTTTGCCCAGTTACTAAAGTTGAAAATCTTGGTTTAACTTAGTTATTTTGGGGGGTATTTTTTCTTTGAATCTGGAAGTTCTTAACATAGATGCAAGGATCTCTATTTTAGGGAGTCCTCAAAGCTTCCTAGAATTGTATGCAATTGTTTTTGTGTATATGTGTTTGCATTTTATATTTGGGGGTAAAAAGGATGCATAGTTTTCATAATTCTCACAGAAACCAACCCTAAAAGGATGAGAACTGTTGCTTTATTGCTTTTTGTAAAAGGCTGCATAGCGTTATTTTTAAAAATTATACTGATTTTCTCTTTAAGCAAAATTCGTCATGTCGACCTCAGTGAAAACAATTTTGGAGTAATTACTGTCGTTATGTGAATGTGTCTCCGTGTGGAGTTGTATGCCAAGGGTTGTGTGTTATATACTTAGCCATAAATTTCAAAAATGACATATCGAAAAGAACATGGCATTATTCATATCCTAAGACTCTGTGCTATTTAGTATATAATACATAAATGTAGAAATACTTTTTAAAAATTTTAAAACAATCTCAGACTCTAAAGAGTTGCAAAAGCAGTATAAAGAGCTCCTATTTGCCCTGTACTCTTCCACTGTTAACATATTATATAACCATTGTATAATTATAGAACCAGGAAATTAACAGTAATACAATACCATTAATTAATCTACAGAACTTCTGACATTTCCTAAATTGTCCCCAAAATGCTCTTTTTCTGGTCGAGGATCTAGTGCAAGATCCCACGTTGTATATAGTTGCCATGTCTTCCTAGTACCCTGCAACTGGTAGTTAATCAGTTTTTCTTCATTGTTTATAACTTTTTGAAAAGTAACATCATTTTCTAATTATCTCTCAACTTGAGTGTCTTTATGTTGTGAGTATCTTCAGGTTATGCATTTTGGGAAAAAATACTTTCTCACTGGTCATGGTGCATATCTGTAATCCCCGCTATTTGGGAGCCTAGGGCAGGAGCATTGCCTGGGTGACTTACTGAGACCCTGGCTCAAAATAAGTGGGGGGTGAGGGCAGTAATAGAATAATGATAGAATACTTGCCTAGCCTTGCACAAGGCCCTGAGTTCCATCCCCAATACCAAGAAACAGAAAAAACAAAGCAAAACACGGTCTCAGTATATGCCCATGGGGCTGGGGGTTTAGCTCAGTGGCAGAGTGCCTGCCTGGCAAGCGCGAGGTCACGAGTTCGATTCCCTATACCAGAAAAAAAAAAAACCACAAAAAATAAAATCAGTATATACCCAAATACTTCAGATATATATGATATTATTTGTGTTACTACCAAATTGTATATTGTCTACTTTTGTTAGGAAACAATGATTAATGTTGTACAAATAATTACAGAGGTAATTATTGCTTGACTCTGTGTGTAGTTTCTCTGTTTGTTTGTTTTTTTTTTTAAACTACCCAGGCCTTCTCTTAAGCTAGACAAGTACTTCACCACTGAGCTACAATAAAATCTTTGAAAAATCTTTTAATATCTTCTGTTTTGAGACAGTCTCATTAAGTTACCCAGGCTGGACTCAAACTGCCAGCCTCCTGCCTCACCTCCTGAATAGCTGGAACTGCAGGGGTGCACCATCATACCCAGCTCCCTAGTTTCTCCATTTTTAAACTATTAATTTGGACTTCATTTTACTCTATTATTTCTAGAGTTTTAAATTTTTTCTGTTAGCAACATGATAAAATTATTAGGTTCTCTGAAAAAGCTATAAAATGTTTTGATGTAAAAAATCAGACTGTATCTTCAGTCAGTAGTATTTGTTAATATGTCAGGTTACTATATAATGTCCTAGAATCAGAGAAAATGTTTTTTATTAATTTTACTGGTTATTACTAGCTTACTGAATAAGTGAATTAAAAACTAGATGTTAAAATCAGTTCTAATTTTTGATATATAAATACACTTTAAATTAAGGGAAATTTTAAATTATTAACACATTGTTTTTGTTGCTTTTAATGTTAAATTTAGGTTTGTGTAAGATGCAGTTGCACAGAAGTGTATTAGTCTCTTGGATATACTCATAAATTAACCAATGCTTGTCTTATGTCAGATCACAAATGTTCATAGCAGCCGGGCTCTTGATGTTCAATTCCTAGACTCTGGCAACGCAACCTCTGTGAAAGTGTCAGAGCTCAGAGAAATTCCACCTCGGTTTCTACAAGAAATGATTTCAATACCACCTCAGGTACAATTAGATATAAACCTGGAGATTTTCTGGGAGAACTTCGGATGTGTTTGTTCATAATTGTGTTTTAAGATGCTCTCTGTTTTGATCTTACTAATGATCAAGGTCCTAGTTTACAAAAAAAAAAAAAAATCAAATTATCCAAGTGTGATTATTTACCCATTTTCAAAAGTAAAACTTTTCTCAGAATCCCAGTCGTATTTATGGACTATTGTTTGCTATGTTTGTTTTCAAGTACACCAACTCATTAGGCTGTGTTGTCCAGTTAGAGGTTCTATTTTAATTATTAAATGCAAGTGCTGACTTCCTCACAGCTCCAGTATATTGTATATATTATAAATGTATATATTGGATATATATTAAATGTATATATTATACTGGATATATAATATATCCAGTATATATTATAAATGTTTATTTTCAGAGTTTATAGTGAAATTAGTTAGCCATTCTCTGGAAATCTGTTCATATGTTATATGTTTTCATTTCTTATATATTTATGCCTTACATTTTAATAAAAAGATTTACCTTGCCCTCTTAGTGAACACTCAAATGATAAGAATTTTTAATTATTTTTAGTTGAGTAAAATTAACAGAACCATTTACCTTTTTGGGGAGAAGTACAGAATTTTGTATAGAAATAAATATTTTTTAAAAAATAAAACTAATACTCTGTAATAGCAAAATGCCCCTTGATTAATATTTTCCAGAAGACCTCTGTCATCACTACTCAACATATAAAACCAGTTGTCCATAACTAGTATAGCTTTTTAGCATTTCTCTCACTCCAGTCCCTATTGCCTTTTCTAACAATGACTATTGTAGAGAAGCTGTTCAACATTTATTAAAGCCTGTTTTGAAAGTCATTTTTGCTCTGTTGCTCAAATGTAATAGTGGAAGTCGACAGCCTCTAAGGGAAGCTGTCACTTTCTAACAGTCTGGCCTCTGTAGCTCCTATTTGGAACATTGGTGCAAGGCCAGCCTTACCTCAAAAAATTCCTTGGCCTGGAGTGGAGAGGGATCCAGACCACTGCTGTCTATCTGAAAGTCACATACTAGAACTTTTCTTATGCTGCTGCATTAACTGGTATTAGACTTTTTAAATAATATCTGAATTTATTGCTTGGTAGATGTAAGGACTACTGGTTGGAGATTCTTTTTTAATTTTAAAGAAAATAATACAAAAAAAAGGAACAGTTGCAAAATACAAACAACACAAAGCAAAGACTTTAAAAATGATACAGGGTTTCAAGCCAAATGATAGAGATTAACAGTGGTTGTTATATTACGTATTGTTATCTTCAACAAAGTTGCTCAGATCACATGTAAGAATAGAAGATTGATCAAATCATTAAAGGGAATAGGAAAATAATAATTCAAAAGAACATTAGGACATGCAAGTCTCCAGTTAACACCTCCGTAAGAGATCCAAGTCACTGTAACAAACTGACGGTCTGTCAGCGAAAGCTGACCATAAACATAGTTTTACTGTTGTCTCTAACAGTATTTTAAACGTGGGGATTTGTGGCCAGGATTTTAAAATCAGAAAATTTCTCCCCAAAATGTTTACTTCTAGCTTTTCTTTTAGTAAAGTATCTGACTGTCCTAAGGGTCATCCGTGGTGGGTGGTGCCCTTGGGAACTGTGCATGACCTTCTTCTCACCACATGCAGCTGGCACAGTGAGAGGTTTGGAGCCCAAGCCCACAGGGTAGAGGTAGTTTGGAGAAGGGGCTTAGAAAAGAAAGGAGGAATCAGGGAGGTAGGTTTCCGACCCTTCACAAAGTTGCCTCCATCAGTTCAAAGGCTCACATGTGGTGAAAGGATCTGCAAGGTCTCCTCTTACGCTCTACTGTGACCATTCTTCAGAAACTTGGGTAATGGTTAGGGATGGTAAAGAGCATCAGTGAAAATGAGACTTTCAGGTCCCTGTGGGCATCAGTTTTCCTGTCCTTTCTACTTCTCATCACAGCCTCCTTCAAAAGATTAGGACAAATGCTTGATACCCACGAGGTGCTCAGGAGATGAAGGGTGAAGCCAGTAAGCTTCCAGAGAGAGCCTGAAAGGAGTTGGATTTCCTTCAAGTGTCAGTTCATTAAGTTGGACTGAGCAAGAAGATCTGCACCTAGTTCCAACCCTGTCTGCTCAGCATTGTGGTCTTCCACAAACTAGGCTTTCTGAGTCATTTCATTACCTGCAAAATGATGTCATAGCATCTGTCATGCAGGAAAGTATTGTGGGGTGAGAAGCACCTGGTACCAGGCCTGGCTAAGAAGAGGAGGAAAGACAGTAGTAGTGATATAAATAGAGCCAGGAACATAGCTCAAACCAAGAGCAGTGATTATCATTGTTGGCTATGGCTCTTACTTGCTCTCTTGGCAACATCTGACTTGCAGGAAAATAACAATGACATTACTCATAAGTACTTGTTCTAAGATGTGTACTTTCTTCCCATCAGGCTGTAAAGTGCTGTTTAGCTGATCTCCCACAGTCTATTGGCATGTGGACACCAGATGCTGTGCTTTGGTTAAGAGATTCTGTTTTGAATTGCTCAGACTGCAGCATTAAGGTTAGTACCTTTCTAGGTACCTCTAAAAGGGGAGCTTCTAGCCAGAAAGGCTCAGTGGTTTTTGTGAAAGAATTTTATCATACTGTGAACTTCACATCAGACACATTTTTTACATTCAAAAGGTTGGTTACACATTATGGCTATATTTCATGGTTTGTTTCTCATTTAATAAGTCACCCTATGTTTCTTATATTACTTTTAAGCCATTTATATAATTTTTTTCATTATTAATAAGATAGGAGAGATATCCAATTTTGTTTTGTGATGGGAATTAAGTTCCCAACCACTGTTTTTCCCTAGTGGAGAGTGTGTTATAAACACATCATTTGCTTATAATCTTCATTTGTTTATAATCTTGGTGTTTGCCTTTTTTTGGTGTTTATTTAAACTGCTTTACTGGTTTCACGTACTCTTGTTTCCTTTTTCTGTGCTTTGCATTCTTCAAAAACCTTGTTCATATTTCCAGGACTAGAAATGTGAGATTGTTATTAGCTGATGCAGATAATATTATTTTATATAAACGTGTAACCACGAAGTGTCTTAAACTGTGTCTTCACTACCATTTCTAAATCATTATAACAGGCTTTCCTATCTTTATACTTCTCTAAGGCTTATAGTGTTGCTTGCTTAATTATGTACTATGTAATATTCTTCAGTTGTCACAAGTTAATGAATGCTGTGTTCTCAGCTCCTTGTTAGTGTCTCAGCGACTTGTTAAGCTCCTAAAGCCGTGGTATTGGATACTCAATAAAAATACTTTTTATGGTAAAATTTAAAAATGATACCTCTATCATAAATGTCAAAATAATTTAGAAGTCAGCATGTCATTCCTATTTTAAAGGATGAATTTAGGTAGACTTACCTCTCTGGAGAAAATTTTTTTAAGTAAATTACTGTAGATAGATTGCGTTGCTAGTGTCTCCTTCTCTTCCTGTATTCCTGCCTTTTACTTCTAGCTTTCCTTGTTAGAAATAGCTGTAAAAGTATCTCATTTTTGTCCTTTCTAAGGTAAGTCAGTTAAATCCTAAGGTAAATCAAAAGAGCTGATGCCTTTTGGACACGTGACACAGCAACCTCAGTTATCAGTGCTTGGTCCCACACAGACACCCCCTTGCAGAAAGAGCAGGGGTAGTTTGAAAGTCAGAAGGTCCCCTGGGTGAAAAGTGCATAATTGTCATTTCAGTCTGTACAGTGGGGCTTTCATCTTTTCTCCCCAGGTCCCTTTCCTCCATGTGGTTGGGAGGGAGATAGGAGGAAAGCACATGTATTAGAACTAAGTAGGGAATTCAGATCAGAGATCTCCTTGAGTGTACTGGATGTGAAAGCCTTTTCCTTCCCATCCATGTCAGAGGGTGCACCACCTGAAGCCAAATGCTCATCAAACCTTTGGCTGAGGCTGGGTGATGAGCACATGAGAGTTCATCATCCTATTCTTTCTAGTTTGAGTCTCTTGGGATGTCATTAATTTAAAAACTTTGTGACATAGAACTACTTCCTTTTTCTCTGTGATAACAACCTCTAGCAAGTTTTAAGGTTTTCTCAGTTTTTCATTTCTATTAGATTGCATCTGCCTTACAAGCTATTTTGAGTTGAGTCTGTTTATTGCTAGACTATGGTAAATGATTCCTTAAATAAAATGAATCTCAGTGAGTTTTTTCTCTGCAGAATACTATATTTTAATATTTAAGTTTGATATAACTGCCTCTCAGAATTCAGTATGAATTTGGAGTTCTTAAATTATTTTTTGTATTTTTCAAAGGTTACAAAAGTGGATGAAACCAAGGGGATTGCATATGTGTATTTATTTACTCCTAAGAACTTCCCAGATCCTCATCGCAGTATTAACCGCCAGATTACAAATGCAGACCTGTGGAAGCATCAGAAGGACGTATTTCTGAGTACTGTGCCTAGCACAGTCAGCCCTCCCACCAACAGAAATGGCAACGTGCCTGTGGCAGATAGCACCGGAGAGAATTTTAAAAAAAGTGTCACCAAAGTCATCAAAAAGCCCATGGCAGACCACCCTAGCTCCATCTCCATGGAGGAACTGCCACCTCCTCTCCACTTGTCAAAGCCTGGGCAGCACATGGATGTGTATGTGCCTGTGGCTTGTCACCCAGGTTACTTTGTCATCCAGCCTTGGCAGGAGATCCATAAGCTGGAAGTTCTGATGGAAGAGATGATTCTGTATTACAGTGTGTCTGAAGAGCGCCACACACCACTGGAAAAAGACCAAGTGTATGCTGCAAAAGTGGAAAATAAGTAAGTCCTTGGACAAAGCCCTATATTCTATTCTGTTCCTAAGAAAAACTTGGAGAATAATGCCAGGGGTCCTTAATCTTTTCACGGGGATTTTGAAGCTCAGGGAAGGAAATTACTAGTATATATTTGCAATACATAATGAATATACTCATTGGGTGATACTGGTACGTACACACACATCCCTCTTAATCCCTTTTACTGCCCTTCCCCATCTTTACTGCCCATCTTCCCCCATCTTTAGGGCCCCTTCCCATATCCATAAGTGGACCTCCCTGTTTCCTGTCATCTTCCTTTTATTTTGCTCTTCAAATTATTTATGCTTTGGGTTTCTCATACAAAAGAAACAGTACAATATTTAACCTTTTATATGACTTACTTCATTTGGCATTATAGTCTCAAAGGATGTATTCAGGAATGGGAATTTTGAATGTAAAGCAAAACCAACAAATAGTGCAGTTTTTCCCGTATTTAAAATAATGTCATTTATCTAAAAATCTAGTAACCATTTTCCTGTTAAAACGCAATTACTATTAAAGTGAAGGTTTAAATGTCCCTATTTTTCTATTAGAATATTATTTTTATTCAGAAAGCAATCCATTTTTTAATTGAATAATCTTTGTATTTTAAAATGTTTACTATGGAATACTTAGAAAATACATTTTAAAAGCATAAAAAAAAATAAAAGCATAAGAAAAGAAATAAAAGCTTAAGAAACTAAAATCAGCTACCTAAACATAGCACTTGTTAAACTGCTTATGTAAATTTCTTCTAGTTTTTTCTATGGGTATTTAGATAACTGGTATATTATTATTATTATTGCACATAAAGTTGCACCTTCCTTTTTTCCCCTTACATTATGCTACAAACAGTTTTCCACCTGATAAAAATTTTTAGAGATTTTTTAATGGTAATCTGTCATGGAGAAATCATAATTACCATTCTCTTTTGTTATACAGGGTTTTTTTCTTACAGGTTTTTCACTATTTTAAATAATAGATTATTATAAATCATAAATCTTTGTATCTCTGGTTATTTATTTATGAGGTAAATTCCTAGGAGAAAAATGTCTTCTTGAAAGATGACAAGATTTTTCATACACATCGTCAGTTGCTTCCTAGTGGTGTGCTACGTTTTATAAGGAATAACAGTGCATTATTTCAGTACTCTTGGGCCTTTTGGGCCTTGGGACCCTGAGAACCATATTCTTATGTTTGTTTAATGCTTGCATCTGTTTTCTCATATTGTCACATTTCCAATCATGGCTGTTCCCTAAAGTCCCTTGGGATGTGCTGGTTCTATCCTAGTGAAGCCCAGGCTCTCTGGTTTCTAGTCTCTCTTCATGCCACCAAGCCCTGGCAAGTGACACAGCTGTCCCTGTCCTGGCTGTGCACCAGCTTTCCTAGGGAAAATAAATTAGCTTATTTGTTAATGCTGAAGATAAAAAACTTGTTTTCTCTCTTCTCTCTAAAACACACACACACATACCACCCCAAAATTCAGTTTAAAAGGTCAAATTTTTTTAATGAAATGCTTTTATTCTTTGTTAACAAACATAGGCATATATAAAACTATCATTTTCAACTCTCAAAAGTGAAAAGTCTGATAGCTCTCATTTTAAATAGTATACAACCTACATATCTCACACTTCAATTTGTATAAATTTGCCTCAACCGGAACTCTTTGCAGGATAATATAATTACAGTTAAAACCAAACTAGAAGTAACCAGTTATCATGGGCAAGAACAGATTTTTTATAGCGATGACTAATGGTGAGGAGTTCCTAGTTGCAGGAAAGGAGTTATACGGGAAAGGAGAACTCATGAACTAGAGACCTCTCACGTAGGCTGACTCCTCACCTAGCCTTCATGGGTTTGAACAGTTCTGCTCCAAGACTCTAATTTGTTACCAAATAATCGATGAATATTTTATAGATAAAAACAAATCAGTGTAAAATGTTTAGAGCTTGTTATCTTGCATAAGACTCAGAACTATTTACTAAGACTTATTCCCAACTACAGTAAGTTAAGACTTAGGAATTTCAGGTAAAATTTTTTATTACAGTAGTTTTCAAGTCTACCTCAATAAGAAATACCTGGAAAGCCTATTAAAAATACAGATTCTCCTTCTTTACACCAGACCTCCTGAATCAGATTCTGGTGGAACCCCAGAATCTGAGATTTTTTTAAAATTAAATTTATTGATACATTTTAGGTATACATAATGACCATATTCAGAGAATCTGAGTTTTTAATAAACTGCAGGCAGCATCTTGCGCTGAAGTTGGTATTCTAGTTAAAACTGAAACCTTTATGTAAGCTACTAGTTTTGAAAATTGAAAGATAAATAGAAATATGACATACTTTTCTGAGACTTTTTCCTCACTGCTGTGTACTTATTTGTGTACTTAAAATAGAGGGCACCATCATTTTGCTTTGTAAAATTTAAACACAATGCTATTGGTGGTAACCAAGCATTTTCATCTTTCCTTGAACTTATACAAATTAGCAACCTTTATCAAGCTGGCATTTCTACATATAGAAAGTCCTCTCCAATTTGATCTGAATTTCATGTTCGTACAGTTTTTCTTCCAAATAATAGCTACCGTTTGCTAAGTGCCTGCTGTAATCCCAGGTAATATACTAGGCACTTTTTACATAGTATTAAACAAGTGAGTTAAAAGTAACTATTACATGAGATAACTGAAGTTCAGAGAGGTTAAATAAAGAGCCTTGTGTGATACAACTGGAAAATGGGCCAGGTGGGACTCCAGCTCAGGTCTACTTGGCCCCCAGAGCTGAGCTACTCGGGAATCCTTTCTGTGTCTCAGTTGTGTTTAGAACTCATGCGTTACTGATCTTTGCACTTTGTATCTTTCTGAGCATTTCAGGAGTTCTTTCAGAATTCCCCCAGTCATATAACAGTGTTTAAATTTTTCCCCTTTGTTCACCTTAGTGCAGACCCGTTCTCCTCTAGGTGTTAGCTGGCCTTCCCAGCCTAGCAGTGTGTTACGGTAAGGGGTCTGCTCTTCTGCTGGGCTTGTGGCTGATAAACCTGTCCAGAGAACAGCTAGGCCTGCTACCTGAGGAGGAGGCAAGCTCACAACATTCAGGTGTCAGGACCACACTCTTCCTTTCCATAATATAGTCTTCCTTTTTAATCATGTTATTGAAAGGACTTTAAAGTGATCTTTCGTATATTAAGCTTGTAGTCTTGATTTTTTTCTCTTTATTAATGTAAGCCCAGGTTAGGGGAAAAGTATATTCATGTAAATTTCTTTCTGGCACCTGAGCTCCAGATCTAAAATAAGGCTCCTCTTCCTCCCCTGTACTGTCCTACCTATTCCAGGTTCTTTATTTTAGGTGATAGATTGGATTTTGTTTTGGTTTGGTGTTTAATGTTCTCATTCAGCATAATGAAAACTGTAAGCTTTTCATTCAAAACTTTTTTGATTTCTCCTCAACCTCCCTTCTTATTCTGACTTTCCATCTCTGCAGTCTCCCTTCTAGCTTTACTGGTGTGTTTGCTTCAAACTTCCATGCCCTCTTGAACCTTTTGTGCTTTCATCTCAAGCACTTCTTGAGCTTCAGCTTGCATACCCCTTTCCGTCTTCCAAACGTGGGCCAAGTACCACACATGTGGCTACCTTCTGTCTGCATAGGCTGAAAGGGTTCCCTGGCCTTGTGCTAACTATCCTCTGTGGCATCTATTTCATTCTGCCTAAGGATGGTTGGTAATTTATGTGTCAGTGTCCTCCCCTAGCTCTGTGAGGCCTATAAAAATCTCTTGAATGATACTACCTAATGGCAGGTACCAACAGGGGAGCAATCAACAGCTGCACTGTGTTCACAAAAGATCTAAGGTTGGGGGCTGGGGATTTAGCTCAGCGGCAAAAAGCACCTGCCTGGCAAGCGCAAGGTCGTGAGTTCGGTTCCCGGTACCGGAGAAAAACCAAAAAAAATAAATAAATAAATAAATAAATAAACAAAAGATCTAAGGTAAACTTTATTGAACAAAGGTAAAAATCAGAGTTAATCATCAGATTAAAAACTTCTGTGACAGTATAGCTTTGTATTTTGATATTTTGCTATTAATTTTCTGTCATGAAATGTTTACTTAACCTTAAAGCTTTGTTGACTTTGTGTTTTCTCCTTTTAATCTGACGTGTACCTAGGTGGCACAGGGTGCTTTTAAAAGGAATCCTGACCAATGGGCTTGTGTCCGTGTATGAACTGGACTATGGCAAGCATGAATTAATCAGCGTAAGGAAAGTTCAGCCCCTAGTAGACATGTTCCGAAAGCTTCCATTCCAAGCAATCACAGCTCAGCTTGCAGGTAATTTCCCTGGAATCTGAACTCATGCCACAATGTAGTTTATATTGTCACTTTGTTCTAGGTGCAGAACAAGCACAGAATCATTGGCCCATTGAAGAGTTGTTGTTGTTGTTATTTTTTAATACTAACAACATTTTGACCATAATGGAAATAATTTTAATGATCTTGTACTATCATTCTATACCATTATATGTGCTGGTTCTGTTTTTTCCTACTCATTTCTGCCTCTGGTTTCATGAAAGCATAAGTATATTTCTAAAGATACAATCCTAATGCAGGTATTATATGGCATTTTTTTTTCCTCAGTATTTTTCCCTATTTGGGGGTTATTTCCATGGTTTTGTAATTATTATACCCTCATCTCAATGTGATGCCTCACACTTGCTAAGATGCATTCTCCCACTGAGATATGTCCCTAGCCACTGCTAATTATTTTTAATGGATGCAAAATACTTCGTTGAAGCAATATTTCCCTCTAGTTGAACAATTAGATTGCTTACACCTTTTAATATTAAGAGACTCTGCAGATAAACTAGGAAAAACAAACAAAAGAATAATAAAAACAACCTAAATAGCCAATAGAAATATTACATTACTATTATGGCACAAATTATACAACTACACAATGGATTATTATGCAATCGCAAAACATTTCTAGTTTTATCACAGGCGACAGCATACAAGTGTGCCATTTCCCAGGTCAGTAGAGGGACAAACTATTCTTAAAGATAAGTTTATTAGTCAGCCCCAAATAGCAGAAAAAAGCTATAAAAAATGGCTTTTGCCCAAGGTAGCTCACTTGAGATGTTAGTAAGAATTGCCTCCCGGTACCGGAGAAAAAAAACCAAAAAAAAAAAAAAAAGAATTGCCTCCTTAGTTTTTTATAGCCGTGAGGAAGAGGAGGCCAAGGAGAGAAAACAAAGAGACAGAAAAAACAGCTACCTTTGTTGCAGCACTAAGAGAAACAGACCTTAAGTCTGATTCTCGAGGCCCCAAGAAGAACTAGTCGATTACATTTATCTGCTACTGCTGTCAACAGCCAGGCCACCTCAAGAGGGACTGCCCTAAGAAGCCCCCTGGGCTGTGCCCTGTCTGTAAAGGTGACCACTAGAGGTCAGACTGCCCTCTGAAGTGAAGGCCCCAGAGCTCAGATCCCTCCTACCAGCTGGTCCAACAGGAATGAAGGGGCCCAGGGCATACTCTGCCTTCTCCCTCTGGCCAGACCATTATCTTCAAGGAGGAGCCCCGCGTAATCATGACTATAGAGGAAAAAGTAAACAGCCTATTGCTGGACACTGGTGCTAGTCCCTCAGTCCTTCTTTTCAATCCTGGCCTTCCTTCCAGCCGTCACATTTCAGTGAAAGGAGTCACTGATGAGGAGGTAATCTGCTATTTTTCATAACCCTTAGGCTGTAACTACTTGTTAGATCTTTCTTGCATATCTTTGTTTTCCTGAGAAACCACTTTGAAGATACCAAGGTGTATTACAGGAGCCACTGATAATTTCCTACCAATCTGTCCATAACTCTCTAATGTTCCTGTTGTCCCTATGCTATTTCATAAATGGTTGTATGTTTACTACTGTGTGTTTTCAACAACAACCATTGAGAATAGTCAGTGATTATTTAATTGATCACTCATGTATAGCTGTATTTGTTTTCCCTAGAAATCACTTTGAAGAAACCAAAGTATAGTACAACAACCGTTGATAATTTCCTACCATTTTTGTCTATAACTCACTATTATTTGTCGGTTTGTTTTCCTGAGAAACTATCTTGAAGATACCCATGGGTAAAATAACAACCATTGATAATGTCCTACCACTTTGTCTGTAATTCGGTAAATCCCCCTATTATTATGTTACCCTTATTTTACTCTTTTAAATAAAAAAAAAAAAAAAGTATGCCATTTCACCACAATACACCAACCTTGTGACTGTTATTAAAATTTGAGGAGCTGGGGTTGAGGATGTATCTCAGTGGCAGAACACTTGTTCAACATGTGTGAGGCCCTGAGTTTTAATCCCCAGCCCTGAAAAAAATAAAGTTAAAATTTGAAGAGCTGCTTTAATAGCTGTGCAATGATACTTGTTTGTGAAATTATTCAGTGATGTTTTCCTTTGATTTTTTGTGAAAGCAGTATATAGATGTTGATGGCTCCCCTACAGGCACCTGCCATTGATAGCTTGAACAGTTGGATAGATCTCAGCTCAAAGGCCTGTCAGCATCAGCCATAAGCAAGGAGGCCAGAAGAGCTGAGGAGTGCAGATACCCACAATCACATGAGCGCTCCATGTCCTGCCGCAGTGTCATATGTGGTATCGTGACCACACAGTGCCACTCTGATCCCTTTGCTCCCTGATCCCTGTAGTCCTCAGCCCCATTCGCCCATACTTGTCACACACTAACGAAGCTATTTGATCTCAGCAATGAAAGAAATGGTGTATGTAGAGTCTCCTTTTATTTATTGATCGGCTTTTATTAGAAGGTTATATTGCATTATTTTGAAATATTTGCCATTTTCTCTTTGTCTCTGTTATAATTCAAAGGAAATTCTCATAGTAATTGGATATAAAGCAAAAAATGGCAGTTTTTTGCATGTAATGCCCACCTTTTAGACTGCTTTGGATTCAAATCTCTAAGCAGTTTCTTCAGATTTAATGGTCACCTTGTTTTTCATTTTTTCATTTTAATGTTCAAGTTTTACTAACACGTTCTGTCAGACGTGAGCATTGAACTTTGCAGACAGGAGCCTCTATAAGGAATGAGTGCTTGGCACCATCATCCGTGGCCCTGGCACAGTGGTCATTTGTGCTCACCATGTGCTGGGACCCTACCACCCACTTTAGAGCTTTCTTCTTGTCTAATACAAACAGTGCTGTAAACTTCCTTTTAATCACTACTTCTGTTTCATCAGATTTTGGTACACTTTTTTCATTTTTAGCTTAAAATATTTTTGCATTCTAATTTAGAACTTTATTTTTTCAGTTTTTATTTTTATTAGTACATGTTTCCAATACAAAATCACTGTATTCCTTATGGGGAGTTGTGTACATGACACATCTTAATTCTTGTGGTTTTTTTTTTTTTTGGTTTTTCTCCGGTACCGGGAACCGAACTCACTACCTTGCGCTTGCCAGGCAGGCGCTTTGCCGCTGAGCTAAATCCCCAACCCCAGACACATCTTAATTCTTTTTTTCAGGCCCTTTACCTCTCCTCATACCTTCAACTCTTAATCTCCATCTCATATGACAAAGATCTGTGTCCCCACTTTTTATTATCTATTCTTTGTTATGCTCTTTATATTTTGGGCTTCTAATATAAAAGAAACCATGTGATATTCAAGGTTTTGTGTCTGATATTTCACTTAACATTATGGCCTCAAGGAGCATCTATTTTCCTACAAATGATTCAAGTTTATTCTTCTTTAAGGTAAAGCAGTACTCCATTATGTGTAAATACCACACTTTCTTCATCCGTTGTTGGGCATACAAGCCACTTTCAAGATGTAGCTATTAAGAATTGTGCTATAAACATGGGGATGCACTTATCACTGTAATATGTTGTCTTCAACTCTTTCAGGAAGATACCTCGAAGGGAAATAACTGGGTCAAATGGAATTTCTAGTTTTAGGTTTTTGAGGAATCTCTGTACTAATTTCCACAGTGACTGTACTAGTTTACATTCCCATCAACAATGTAAAGGGCTCCTTTTTCCCCATAACCTCACCAGCATTCATTATTATTTGATTTCTTGATCATTGTCATTCTTTCTGAAGTAAGGTGGAATGTTGGTGTGGTGTTAAGTTGCTTTTCTCTGATGACCAGAGGTGATGAATATTTTTTCATTATTTATTGGCCATTTTTACTTCCTCTTTTAAGAATTATCTATTTGTTCTATATGTCGACTTTTTGATTGAGTCTTTTATTTTTATTTATTTATTTATTTTGGTTTTGGTTTTTCTCCGGTACCGGGAACTGAACTCACGACCTTGCGCTTGCCAGGCAGGCGCTTTGCCGCTGAGCTAAATCCCCAGCCCCGAGTCTTTTATTTTGGAGGGTCTAGTTCTTTTAGTTCTTTAGATATTAGTTCTTTGAGAGATAGGTGACAAAAATGTTTGCCATTTTGTAATTTGTCTCTTCACACTGTGTATTTTGCTGTGTAGAAGCTTTTTAATTTGATATATCCTTTTTGTTGATTCTTGGTACTATTTCTTGTCCAATTAGGGTTTAGCTCAAAATATTTTAAAATTTCTCTTGAGATTTCTTTCAACAATGTGTTAGAATTTTGTTTGTTGTTCATCCTGCAAATTTAATTTTCCAGCTCTGTTTTTTATTTTGGTTTCTAATTTAACTTCTTTGTACTCTGAGAGAAGACATTGGATGATTTCTGTTCCTTTAAATTTGTTTAAGTTGTGTATTATATCCCAGGATGTGGCCTATCTTGGTGAATATTCCATGTAAATTTGAGAATTATAACCTGCTGCTGTCGGATGGAGTCACTTTATATGTCACTTAAATCCCATTAATTGATTGTGTTGTTGAGTTCAGTATTTGCTTACTGATTCTCTGTTGGATCTGTTCATTTCTGGTAGGTGTTAAGGTCTAAATGTGATAGTGGATTCACCGGTTTTTCCTGGTAGTTCTGTCATTTTGCCTTACATATTTTGACATACTGATGTTAAGTGCTCACACATTATTATTATATCTTCTTGGAGAACTGAACCCTTTACCATTATGTAATGCTTCTCTTTATCCCAAATAACTCCCTTGCACTGAAATCTGCTCTGTCTAAAATCAGTATACCTACTCCTTTCTTTTGATTAGTGTTAGCAAGGTATATCTTTCTCTGCCCCTTTGCTTTTCTCTATATGTGTCTTTATATTTAAAATGGATTGTTTGCCAGTAACATAATTGAGTCTTGTTTTTTGTTCCATTCTGATAATACTTGTCCTTTAACTGGCATATCAAAATTAGTGAGTTTTAGTTGTTGTCAGTAGAGATCAATTTCTACCATATTTAATTACCATTTTCTATTTGTTGTCCTTATTTTCCCCCTACACACACACTGGGGATCAAACCCAGAGCCTACATACTGAACTACATCCTTCTTTTGAGGTGGGATGCAAGTCACTAAGTTACCCAGCCTGGGCTTGAACTTGTGATCCTCTTGCCTCTGCCTCTCTGAGTACTGGGATTACAGATATGCACTATCACACCCAGCTTTGTTTATTCTAATTTTTGTCATTTATGCTTTTCTACTTCTTGTGGTTTTGAGCATTTTATGAGTCCATTATTAACATATTAGTCATAATTTTTTCCTTCCTTTTTTTTAGTGGTTGCCCAAGAATTTGCAATATACATTTATAACTAATCCAGATTCACTTGTAAATAATATTATACTGCTTCATAGCTAGTGCATATACCTTATAACAAAGTAATCACTTCCTCTTGGGTTTTGTGTTTTTGCAGACATTCATTCTACTTATGTATATAAACATAATCAAATACATTGTTGCTATTATTTCAAAGTTATCTATTAGATCAGTTAAGAATAAGAAAAATAAAGTTTTACATTCATTCTCTGATACTTCCCTTGCTGTATAGTTTTAATTTTTTCTCTGAAGAACTTCTTTTTTAAGAATTTCTTTTAAGGGCTGGGAATTTAGCTCAGTGGCACAGCGCTTGCCTGGCAAGCGCGAGGTGGTGAGTTCGATTCCCAGTATTGGAAAAAAAAAAAAAAAAAAAAAAAAGAATTTCTTTTAACATTCTCCCAAAGCTAACAAACTCTTCCCATTTCTATTTGAGTCTCTGTGCACCCGCTTCCCACTCCCAGCTCTGGAGATTGAACCCAGTGCTTTTTTTTTTGAAATATAGATACGGTAGCTTTGAAGGACATTTATTTTTTTCATTTTAAAGAGAATTTAAAAAAAGAACAATAGCAAAATGCCAACAACATAGACAAAAACAAAACAAAGCAAAAACAGTAAGAATGATAGCGGATTTCAGAACAAAATGGTAAGGATTAACAGTGGTTGTTATATTATACATTTTTATCTTCATTGAAGTTGTGAACCCAGGGCTTTGCATATGCTAAGCCAGCGCTCCTCTGCTAAGCTACAGTCCAGCCCCTCTCCTTTACTTTGGAAGGGTACTTTACAAGGTCCAGAATTCTGCTTGGTGAGGTTTTCCCTCTCAACACTCCACTCTCATTGCTTGAATAGTTTCTGAGAAGTTGGGTGTAATTCTTATCTTTGTTCCTTTAGATATAAAGTGGTTTTCTCCTCTGGCTTCTTTCAGGATTATTGTTTATCTTTGTTATTCTAGTGTTTGAACATGATAGATCTAGATGTGTTGGGAGCATTTATCCTGCTTGGTGTTCTTTAAGCTTCCTGGATCTGACACTAACTGGAGAAAATTCTGTTATTATTGTTTCCAATGTTGTTTCTGTTCCTTTCTTTCCTTTCCTGGTTTTCCCCTTAATCATATCTGTATACGTCCCAGTTCTTAGATATTGTTTTTCCTTTTTCAGTGTTTTTGTTCTTTGCTTTTTAGTTTTAGAAATTTTTATCATCACATTCTCAAGATTAGAGACCTCTCCTTGGCCACATGTCTACTAATGAGCCCTCCCAGGCATTATTTTCTATTGCAGTGGTTTTGCTTTCTAGCATTTCTTTTTTTGGTATTTGTACTTAAAATGTCCATCTCTAGGTGTGTGTGTGGGGTGCACACCTTGTAATATCAGTACTCTGGGAGGCTGAAACAGGAGGATCACAAGTTTGAACCCACCCTGAGCAATTTAAGAACTTAGCAAGACCTTGTCTCAAAATAAAAAAGGGCTAGGGATGTAGCTCAGTTTGAAGGCCCTGGGTTCAATTCCCAGTACTGAAAAAAATGTCCATCTTTCTGTTTACATTATCCATCTTCTCTTTTTTGGTGGGGCTGGGGATTGAACCTAGATTTCTAACATGTTAACCAAGTGCTATATCACTGGGCTACTCCTGCAGCCCTTACATACTGTCTACTTCATCCATGAAAGTCCTTAGCATGTTAATCGTAGTTGTCTTAAATTCCTGCCATATCTGACTCTGATTCTAATGCTTGTTCAGGCTCTTCAAACTGTGCTTTTTGCCTTTAGTATCACTAGGAGCTGAAGGGCATACGTGATGTACAGGTTGGGATGGGGTATCCCCCAGAAAGGCCTTTGGAAATGCAGTGGCAAGGTGTGTGTGTGGGAGGGAGGGGGCTGTCTGTAATCCCATGGTGTGGTCCGAGTTTTCTGCCAGCCTGCACCCCTGTGCTGCGAACTTCACTTATGTGTCTCAGGGTCCCCCTTTGGGTGGAGTGAGATGGTTAGAGAGGAGTGGAATTGGGCATTTACCTTCATCCAGGTGTGTGAGGCTCTGAGGAAACCCAGCAGGCCAGGCTTTGTAGAATCTTTTCTCCAGAGGGCAGGGCTCCATAACAAAGAGGTCTGGTGCATTTCATGATGCTGCTCTCCTGCCCCTTGCTGGAAGCACAAGGGATTTTTCTCTGATTGTCATTGTGAGGACCAAAGGTAGTGCTCTTGGAAGGAAAACCTGTAAAAGTGTGGGGGGAAGGGGAGCATAACTGGGTCCTGCTAGAACTTTGAACACTCAGCTTGTCCCTGTGAGCCTCCAGCAATTTGTCAGTCACAGTCTAGGTTTTCCTAGTCCTGTACTCCTCTAAAGTTTCTGGTTATTGATTTCTGTTCCAGTAAGTTGCGGCCTCTATCTGCCTTTCTGTCCTCCAGTTTTTGGACAGAATGTTTATCTATAACCTCACTGTTCCTTTTCCCAGCTTTTATTTGTCATTAGGATGGAATGACACCTTCTTGCCTCCTTAAGTTCCAGCAGCCACTTCACTGCACTGCGTTCTCCCCCTGCTGGGAGGCTTAGCTACCAGACCCTATTACTGTTAACCTGATCAGGAAACAGAAGCTCAGAGAAGCTAAGTGTCCTGCCCAAGACCCCACAGCCTCAACTCCAGCAGTCTGCTTCTCCAGTGCACCCATTTCTTCATTGTATGCTTCCTTCTCAACATAAAAAAGTACAGTTTCACAGTCAGGAGATCTGAATTCAGGTCTCTCCCTTCTCACCCATCCCATAATTATTTACAAAATAGCCAGCCAATCCCTGTCCTGTTTATGGCTCTAAACTAATAGGTGGGCCACATGAGAGAATGAATATGAAATCCCCTTGTAGACTGAGCAGGTAGCACAAATGTATGCCTGCTTCTTGGTACACCTATGTCTGGAAATAGCCTTGCTGGTGAGTGTCATCCTGGCTTAGTTCCCTTTCTAGGCTCACTTTTGCCACACCTTTCCACCAGCAGGCTCATCAGTCCCAGGGCCTCTCTGGCATCAGCTTACAAGTAGAAATATTCAAGAATGTGTATGGTACAGAATGTTTCTCTCTTGCTCCAGGATAGCTATTCCCTAGACAGAGGAGTGGTACAGACAGGGAGTTTCATGGAAGTCGTCTATTGTGCTGTACCCATTGCAGTCACTACTTTGGTAGACTTGGTTCTCATCCAGCCAAGCCCTAGGACATTTGTGACTATCCCTAGAGTATAAGAACTCCATGGAAGCTAAGTTCCATCCAATTGCATGAAAGCTAAATCCACAGAATGTCCTCATCCTGTAAATCAGAATATTGTAAGGATTCTCCAGGATCCTTGGGATGAACCTTTATACACTCACAGATGGGGTCACTCCCAAGGTCCCCAGGGGGTTGGGTTGCTGCTTCATTGCCTGTGACTTTTACGTGGACAGTCTTTGTGGCTGTGCAGTGTGGCTGTACATTTGATGCCATGAATCATAGATGTAATGGAGCTACTGTGGGTCATCTCTTACCTTGTTGATTAGGTTCTAGAGGGGTTATTGTATTACTTATGACTTAAAAATTGTCAGGGCTACTGCAAATAAAATGAGACATTTAGGCTTCTCTTGTGAGAAATTCTTAGTAATTGAAGATTTTACCCGTCTTCCTCTGTAGATGGCAAATCTTCTAAAACTCTGTGTAAAGACTCCCAGACCTTTATTCCCTTGGCATAACTGATAGTTTGCCTAATCTAGTGTGTGTAGACTTAGTAAAATGTTTTTATCTCAATTTTAAGTTCATACTTAGAATTCTAAATTGACTTCTCAAGTTTAAAAGTCACAGGAATTTAGAGATTTGTGAAGCTTAAAATTCATGTGGTCCAACCAGTTTCTTTTATGGTAGGTAAACAAAGGACCAAGAAATCAGCTGATATGCCCAACATCACACCACCCGCCTGAAGAAGAGCTGGGAAGACAGTAGTAACCGAGTCTCCTGACCTTGAATTCAGTGCCCCTACATGACACTCTGTAAACGTCCTTAGAAATGGCACTCCATATAGCAATTCTTTTTTAAACTACATTTGTCCCATTAGGAAGAAAAACTTTAAGAGAACTGTCACTAATATTATTTATGTTTTATTCTCAAGTATTAGTTTATGAAGTTTATGAATACCTTAAGTATGAGAAATTTGAGTAGTCATTATTACTTCTTTCAATAATACAACATCAAATGTCCAATGAAACTTGTATTTGTAGGTAAAGGCTTACAGAAACCACTGCACTCAGAGTAGAAAAACTCCAGTCTGGTGATGGTTCAGCAGGTGTTCTCCACCTTAGGTGCTTCTAACCTGGGATGCTTAAGCTATTTTAGAACTGATGAATAGTTTTCCATTAAACTGATCTGGAAAGGCATCTCCCTCTCTGTCTTCCTCCTAGGAGTGAAGTGCAGCCAGTGGTCCGAAGAGGCTTCGATGGTGTTTCGAAATCATGTGGAGAAGAAACCTCTGGTCGCACTGATACAAGAAGTTATTGAAAATCCTAACCCGTGGGACCGAAAAGTAGTGGTCTATCTAGTGGATACATCGCTGCCAGACACTGATACCTGGATTCATGATTTCATGTCACAGTATCCAGTAGAGTCTTCAAAAGTTAATTAATTGCTGGTTCTAAGACCTTGACAACTAATTCAGTTTTTTTTAGCAATAACAAATGTAGTAGGCTTTAAAAACATCTTATTTCTGCTACATGGCTCTGACTGTTGTGGAAGATTGAAAAGAATATGCCAATGTTTAATGAGAAATAGTTAACAAGTTTTGTTTTGACAGAGTTGACTTTTCAAAGAAAATTGCACTTGAATTATTACTATACTATTAGAATAAAAAAGTTTATCAATATAAAAACTGGCTACTTTGTCTTTTGCAGGCATTATAATCTTAAGATGACAATTTTCTTCTCCAGTGGTGATGTCTTCCTTGCAGTGCTCGGTGCTTCTCCAGTTAAATTGAGAATTTCATGACTTAACTCTACCCTGGAATGGTGGTTAGATCCCCAAGCAGGTGATCCCCAAAGCATGTGAACTGACCTTGAGTCTTTAACACATTAGCATCACCACGAGAGCAGGCCAGGAAAACTACCATGCCCCTCACTGCGCATCTTGAGGGGCTTTTCATGGCCCAGAGTATCCAGACCCAGAGCCAGGCCGTCCGTAGCCCTCCTGCCCAACCTTGACTACCACATCCGGATGCAGCCATCCTGGACTTTATCTTACCCTTTCCCCCACTTTGTTCAGCCAGGACTACCGACACCCTGAAACAGGACTTGCTGCCCTTCTAGCTGCGTACTCCAGCCCCTCAGCCAGCCTGCAGCTCGTTCTTCCCGCTGTCTTTTGTCAGTGCCCTGCCTCACCTTCTGGGCTGACGTGAAGCTTTCTCTGGTGCCCCTTTCTACTCCATTTTAATTTGATTATGCCCCTCTTGATGCCCGTGTCTCACTGAACTTTGTGGTACACAACTAGCAGTCTGTGTACCAAGCACACTAGCTAGATTATGAGTCCTTGAGGACTGACAAGTCTTAGTCACGCCTTTATCTGTAATGCTTGCTCCAGTTCCACAGGAGCAGGAGGTGAGCCTTGATGGGTACTGTTTGACAGCTTACTTGCTGTTCGTACTCCCACTTTGTGTTCCGGCTAACAGGGTGAATATGGAGATAGATACAGATAAAGGAGGAGTGAAGTGAAGTCTGAAGGTCTAGGCCCATGATCCTTACCCAGTTTGAGAAGAAGATTAAAAATTTGATTTTGAGTACACTAAATGAGCTAATGGACTTTCATGTGAAGATACACACAAGCTATTAGAAATATGGAGTATACTTCAGAAAAGAAAACCAGGCTGGAGATAAGCTTTAAAGTTGTTTGTTTTTATTTGAGAAAATACAGAAAAAGAAATGGAAAAAGACCACATGTTTTAAGCTTTTCATCTTAAGCATATAAAAATTATCACTAGCTTTTAAAATTTTATACTTAATATATTTAAACTGAAAACTCAAGAATACCTATACCAGGGATTAAAACAATCACGATGAAGTAAAGATACTGTAAATGTTAAGTCATGTAGATACCTTGTAAATGGCAAGTAATATTTATGACATGCAAATGTTTAAGTCAAATGACATGTTTAAGTCAAAACAGCATATACTTTTTATAACAGTCTCTTTCCTGAAAAACAACAAAGGCAAAAATCCTCAAATTATGTATAAGGAAAGATGAAGTGGTTCTATTTCATTGACTAGAAATGCTTCTATTTGTAAAATAAAATTATATTTGTTGATGTAACTGTAAAATTAATCTGATGCTGGGACAGTTTGGCAAAGAAATGAACTTAACCTCTACCTCATCCCATATTCCCAAGTCAGTCCTAGGTGGCTTGGAGACCTCAGTGTGAAAGGTAAGGTTAGGAGAGAACCCGGGAAAATTCCTTTGTGACCCAAGGGTAGGAAACGACACACAAAGTAGTACTGATAAAGAAAAAGATGGATAGACTATTAAAACTAACAACACCAGTCCATCAAAAGACATTAAGAAGGAGAAGCAAAGCACAGAGTGGAAGGGTGTAGTTGAGAGATAAACAGTGGTGCCTCAGTTTACAAACGTAATTCTTATTAAGATTCTGGTTACAGACTGAGTTGGGCAAGAACAGAATCATATGTAATGGTTAGGTTCAATGTTGCCCTTACGGGAAAATTTGACTTGGTTCTCATCTAGTTCAGTTTGTGACCAGAATCCGTGGCAAGAAGTTCATGAAGTGAGCCACCATGGTACTGCATACAAACAGACTATTCCGAAGAAAAATGGGCAATAATTTGAACAACTTCTTCACAAAAGAAATCTAACTAGCTAAAGAAATGCGTACCAGTAGTCCATAGGGAATACCATTTGGAACCCCAGTGTGGATCCTGCTCATGTACCAAAATGGCTACATTGTTTCGATTCTTGTTAGTCCCAAATTGGTATTGAAGGTGTGAAACTGCTGTGTGAAATTGTGCTGTTGAGAACCTTTGGAGGAGACAGGGCAGAGGATATATCTCAGAGGTGCAGCTTCTGCCTGGCAAGCGTGAGATCCTGAGTTCAATTCCCAGTAACAGCCCCCCTCAACCCAAAAAAGGGTTTGGAGGAAGTGGCAGGCATTCACCATGAGTGTGTGCACTTGGAAGATTCTGGGAGAGGATGTTCACAGCAGCAGTGTTTGTAACAAGCAACCAAACGTCCACTAATAGTAAAATGGAACTTAAAAACTGGTGGTATAGGCATGTAGCAGAACATACCCCACCTCCAGCCAGTATACTTACGTTTGTTAGTTGCCCAGGTACTAGTTCCTGTTCCAGTTCCAGTTGCTTCTGTCTCTTAGAAACGGCTGGTCATTATCATGCATAGCTGGTCACTATGATGCACACTGTATAAACCAGTCCCCAGTTGACAAGCCATTCTGCCTCTGTACTTCCTGCTTACTTATCCAATATAAACCCTAGGCCACCAGAGATCAGGGCCTGATATTCTGGAATGATCCCAATCAGTGTCCGTCGATGTGAATAAATCTGCCTCCAAATCCTGGGTGTCATTTTGGTGTTTCCGCTTGCTGTTGCAGTCATAGGATGGAAAACATTACAGATGTATAAAACATCACATATAATCTCGTAACAGAGTTGAGTAAATGAAGACAAACTGCAGAAGTGCAATAAAGCAAGGTCATAATTACCAAAAGGGTCCAGAAAGCATCTGTGGGAGGGAGTTGTGACCCAAAAGAGACAAATTGGTTTCTGAGCTGCTGACAGTGTTTCCTGACTGATGTTTGACTTGCACAGATGTTCACACTGTCAGAATTCAAGAAGCCTAACACGTTTGCACTTACATGTTTGAAACCGTAACAAACCTGTTTTAAAATAATCTTAAACATTAAATCACCACTTTTATTGAAAAATGTATGGCAGAGCCGGGCCTGGTGGCACACACCTACAATCCCAGCACTAAGGAGGCTGAGGCAGGAGGATTGCCACAAGTTTGAAGCCAGCCTGGGCTACATAGTGAGTTCAAGGCCAGCCTGAACTTCATAGCAAAACCCTGTCTCAAAAGATAACAGAAAAAAAAAAAAAATGCTTCTTGAGAAGTGAACCCTTACAGAACATCTTTATGAAAAATGGTTTTAAAATGCTTATTTCTCCATTATATACAGTACCAGGATTAAGACGATTTTTATATCGGCTCTCCCCCACCCAAAACTTTCCCATTAGACTCCACACTAAGATGTTTTCCTATGGCTCTACAAGTTTCCTTTGCATGTGCCATTTATTAAAACACTTAAAATTTCTGTTTAAATGACTTGTTCTGGAAAACATTAGACTTTTAAGAAAGCGGAACTTTTGTTGTGGTTATTTTAAGTCCTTATTTTGGACACTCCGTTATCTCAGTGTGGTGTAGAGAGAAGGCGTTTGACTCCGTTGGAATTGCGTATTTACCAAGTGATGTTACAGTATTGAAGCTTGGGCTCATGCCAGAACTCGCCCGGCTGCTGGGAGGATGAGATGAATCCTTGCTTCAAAGGAGGCAAAGGGGCAGCAGGCTCTTGCTGGCTTTACTACGATACTTTTGAGGACCTCCGAAAAATGCTGGGCCCCGCGGGAATAAAAGTCTGCCCACTTTTTCCGGATAACTAACTCTAACCGCTCAAACTCTCGGTGGGACTAGTGAGAAACAGACCCATCAGCGAGTGC